ATAGATAGATAGATAGATAGATAGATAGATAGATAGATAGATAGATAGATAGATAGATAGATAGATGTATATGTCTTGACAAAAATGCATACGTAAGCACAAGAATAAGCAATTATGTCAGCTTTGATCCTCCACAGTGCTGGACAATATGGCAAAAAACATATAGATTTAAAACAAAAAAACGAACTAGTTTTTTTGCCAAACTGGTGTGTGACCTTCCTGTTTTATTCACAGCTTTCACTCAGCTATGAGGCACGGTGTCAAAACCTTAAATTGCTGTGCAGGTTCCCAACAAGTTGTTACTAGGTAATCACAGACTGAGTGAGTTAGTTGATGCCACTCTCCTTGCAGGGCTTACTGGGCCCTGAGAGGTTGAACAGCTAAAGCCTTTCCTTGGCTTACATCCCCCAGAATGGTGTGAGTTCTGGATTGGAGTTCAGTGAATTCTATATTTTGAATATTCTGTCAGACGTAATATCTATTGGTATTGGTCACGTGTGTATTGCGATATATATTTTTTATTGATTTATTGTCCCGTCCCACAGACAAGGATTGTGGCATTTTGTGACATTTGAACCATTAAGCATGCCAACTCAAACTATCCAGGAATTATATTTTAGTTCAAAATACATCAAACAGTGTGAGATTGGTTCATTGTCAGTTAGGCTGCAAATGGTTTCTATTTGGTCTTTCAATGTCTCAAATGGTTATTTAGCTTCTAACTCTGGATCCTTCAGTTACTGAAACTGTGTTGTTGGGGATGTGTCTGTGAGGAGGCGTTCCCTTTCATGTGGCTTCGACCAGGAAGCCAGGCTGAATTAGATTCACATCACCCATGTGTTCCGTCTGTCCACTCCCATCTGCATACATCTTTGCCCTGATGAAGCATTGTAGGTATGTTGTGTTTAATGTATTATTGTGCATCATTATTTTTATATAATTTCTGCTTGTTGAGGTAGATGTCAAATATTTTTGAATGCTTATTGTAAGTTTGCACAACTTTGCTAATTAATTTGGGACAGTATTTAATTTAGTTACACTAAACTTGTATGTACCGGTACATGTTTATAAAAAGACTGTAAAAGTGATGTATCCCCTTTTTTGTGTTTTAGTTTCACACTTCCTTGGATTCAATAAACCTGTGGATAAAAGGTCAACTTTCCTCACAGTCTTGATATAAGGAAGAGTTTAGCTGTATTGTCTAGTTGCATTTCAAATGGTGAAGGCAATAGAGAAACAACACCTTTACTAGATGACCACACACTTCAGCACACTTATGTTCAAACAATATACAAGTCCAGGACTTGTGCCTTTGTCTTCATTGAAAGATACTTTTAAACACTTCTGTTTAATGTGTTCATGAAATTATTAACTGATATGTTCACTGCCTTCTTAGCAGCTGTATTTATACTGAGGTTAAATTGCTGGATTATACAGCTGGACTATATTTACAAGTAGTCAGTAGGTAATTTTCAAAAGACATTGGTTGTATTAATTTTGATTTAGGGGTGTCAGAGTAAAGGGAGCAGAATACTATAAAAACAGTACAAAATCTAAAACAATGTCTCCTGTGTGTTCTTCTGTCACAGAATATCTCCATAAGATGTGATGTCATTATGTGATTGACTGCTTAACTTTCTACAGGTCTACAGAGGAGCCAATGGAGGAAGAGCCTGTGTTGTAAAGAGGAACTGACCTAAAGCACCCAAAAACACCTTCACGTCCTTCTAGCACCTTCTTGTCCTCCTGTTCCTGCTCCTCCACAGAGTGTGTATGTACACCAACACACACACATATACGCATACGCAGTGTGGAACTGAATTGTTGCGGAGGTCTCAGATTGGCTGAGAACATCGAAGTAAGGCAGGAAAAGGCAAGTCCTGTACAAAACAGGGGCGCCTCTCTTTTCTTCTGGTTCATCCATCCAAGGATTCGCAGACGACTTGTTCGCATCTTCATGGAAACCAAAGACGAGGAGCGTCAGCAAGGTTGCAATTTCTGTACACTACCTGTATACAGCATCGCTGAACCTTGTCCAGTCGTTCTTCTTTTATATTTCCTACCTACTCCTCTGATTCCACTGAGGGACTTTTACTGTGGAAATAAAAAACTTTTATCTGGTCAAAATGTCCGACAACAAGCTGACGACTTGTCTTCTTGTGTCTGTCAGAGAAAACGAGTAGTCGCTTGTTGGAAGGGTAACCCGTTTTACAAGGAGCGGGAGAGCAAGAACTCTAGGTGCCTTTTTTTCTGTCTAACACAAACTATTCAATCAGAATCCACACATCACTGCCAGTGCACCTCAGCCAACCAAGCAGCCCACAGAGGACTGAAGAACCGGCCAGATAGCGCACATACACTGCTGTTGTTTCAGTTGCTCGGTGTATATTTGTTCCATCATCTGAATGCCTTAGTTTTTCTTTTTTTGTGTGACAAAGATGGGTAGACGGGATCAGAAGAGCTCATAAGCTGTAATCTTTCCAGGTATTCCCAAAATACTTTTTTGGTGTTTCCTAAGAGTTGTACCAGTGGAAATGTTTGTCAAAAAGCTCATCTGAGTGTTATTATTGAAGTTAATGTAATATAATGATACTGAGGAAACAATCTCAGGATCAGTTCATCTACAAAACTAGACATTATACTGCAGCCCTTAAAGCTCACTTTGTTGTTTCTGTTGAGTCATGTGACCTGAGTCCCACCCCTTTCTGTCCTCCAAAAAGAATTTTATATTGTGGCACTTTTTAAAATACCACAATTACCACCCTTTCTTTACTTTTCATTTTGAGTGTAATATTTGCCTTTGGCTGTAAATACTGTCCACCATTCAGTTGCGCATAGCAACATCACAGCATCTGTAGTTTGGTTTGTTTTTACATATCTGTACATACATGTATGTATAAATTACAGAATACTTTCTCTTTTTGTATGACAAGCAAAAATAATGTGTAAACTGTGTTTTATTCAATCAGATAAGATTTACGAATATACTCTATTTGAGGATCTGGTGTTTTAAAAGTTTGGCTATTTGACAGAAAGTTGGTGCACGGCTTGATGGCACCCGCTGTCACCGCAGCCTGCTTGTTTGTTTGTTTACAGATGCCAAGAGATGATAGGATGTTGAATCTCTTTGGAGGAGAATGTTGCGCTCAGGTTCCTCTGGCAGGACCACTGCTCTGTACTGCCCTCCTCAGGCAGGCAGCAGCATCTACACACAGGAGCTGTTCAAATCAAAGGTCATGACTGGCTTAGTAGGTGGGTCCAGTGACTGTGGCTTTGTATTCCAACAGATCTTCACAGAATGTTCCTGACTCCCAGACATGTTGCATAAATGAGGGAACGAACGGATGGTAGCAATGTTCAGACTTCCTCTCCACAATAGACAGAAAACTAATGTGTCCTTCAAAATAGGGTTTGTATCAATAAACTTCTTACAAGCAATTAGTCCTTTTAAAGTAGAACACACATCCTCATTAATGTCTTCATTCGTTAGTGCATGTATAAAACTTCACACAAGCTTTACAAGTACAGTGAAACAGCTTTTGTGAAAAGGGTCAACAATAATGCAAAAGATAAAGAATGCAGAGTTTGATAGCGACTATTTTAGCTTATTCCTTATGTGAAGGCACAAGTAGGTGAAAAAACAGTTAGGACACCAATCCATAGTCAGCAGGTTACTTTGGTTTTTAACATTCTTGTTTGTAAAGATTTCTGAAGACGTTTTTCATTAATTAATTACTTTAAATAATAAAATTGTTCCAAATACTGTATTGACTTGGACCCCAGACTGGTACTATGGCTTCAGCTGTAACACTCTTCTACGTCTACACTGCTCCATTCTACATGAGCTATCATGTAACCAGTTTGAGTAAAAATACCACAGTATCACTGTTATGATAACTACACAAAACGATTGAACAAAAATATTTAACTTGATCTCATTCCCTTTATAAAAGGGAATGAGATCAAGTTAAACAGCTTTTGCTGTTTGATTATAGAATAACACAAGCATAACAAGTTCATATCATCTGGTTAATCTGCTCATGTAACCAGTCTGCAATGGGTTGCTTCAGTAATATTCTTCAGGAGTAGGTGCAGTTTCAAGACAGCATTAGCTTGAATGCTCTTGACATGCCTTGCCAGCTTGGCTAGCTACTGGGACATTTTGGACGAATTTTTGTCCATCTTCGTGCAGAATCTCTGCTCAGAGGCAGAGTTTTCATCAGCCTCACAGTTTGACTGTACACATTCAGAAAAGAGCAGTGGTGGTGGTGCTAGTTTCCACACAACTTCCTCATGAGAGCAGAAATGATTTTAAACAGCTGAATATGTCTTTGTTGTAAGCAGGGGGAACAGTGTATTTGTCTTCTTACAGCAAACTCCTGTAAGTTTGCTGTACCACAGCCTCTAAGAAGGATTAGAGACTGTGGTACACTGTACCACAAACAAACTGATTTCTCTGCCACTTTCACTGGCCTCTCATTAAAAGGACTTTAAACTATCAGAATAGTTTGGAAACATGTTAACTTTCTAAAAACCTTAATTTGAGTTTGTGCCTCATTCAGTGTGTTTTGCACATGTACGAGTGGCTCAGCTGCCAGATGATGTTAAAATAATCATGACAAACCATTATTGCTTATTTCAGGTCAAAAAGAAGGTCAACATTGTGTTGAACGTTGACCTTCAACATGCTAACTTTAGTAGTTAGCATGTTGGTTACATGCTAACTACTAAACATGTCCTTCCTTGGATCAAACTATTATTTAAACATACCAGTTTTTGTTTGTAACTTGAAATGAGTAACTTCATAAACTGACAAACCCCATCATCTCCTGAAGTTACAAAACCTTAGAGCTGGACCTATCCATTAATCAGTGCTGTAAAAACATTATATAGAGACATAGAGAAGCTCACATTAAGTCACTTAACGAGGCATGCTGCAATAGACACTTCTACCTTTGGGTAACATCCATTTAGCAATATCAGACCAACAGAATATTTACTCTTTTGTAGATATTTAGATATTGAAGACTTTAGTTGAGTGTGTTGCTTTGACAAATGAACAACAGTCTCTGAGGCTGCATGTAGCACATCTGCCTAGAAAATTCCCAAACAACTGAAAGGTTTTGATAATCATTCTTAATCCCATTGGCAGCTCAAAAGCAAAATTAACTTTACATTTGTGAACTTTACAGTTGATTGATGAGAGGCAGCAGATTGAGACCTCAAACACAATTAAGAGTGTAGAAGGCTAACAGTCAGATGGAGCATTGTTGCAGCAAATTATTGCAATTCAACAACTTAAAACACTCAAATACCAATAATCATCCATTTGTGAAAAACTGACATGTGATGGGGAAGGAAGATTAACTTAAACTCACAACTTCCCTATTGCAAGGCGACTGCTTTTCCCACTGAGAAATCACCCTATACAGTATGTATTACCAAGTTAAACTGTTAGCTCAGTCAAAAAACATCCATTTGACGGTGCAAAGTGCTATTGCCAGCTGTTTGAGCGGGATCATTTCTGTATAAGACCTGGAAAAGGACTGGAACATATTTGAGCTCTCTGCACAAATGACACAAAATCCAGAGCTTGATATTATTCTTAGCAGACTTTGACTGACTGACTGACGTAGCTGGCAGCCTCAGCTATGACAACTAGAAGACAGGAACAAGCTTTCTGGTCTCTATTAAAAGAGCACATACCCAGCATTGTGTCCAACAGATGGAAACATCTTCAGTTTGAGTGGTTTTGAAGTGTCTGTCTGGGTAAAGATTTCCTTCAAGTTTCTACAACCTCACTGTGACCTCTGGCCGGCCCAGGTAAGAGAAGTGTCACTGATAACTTCACAAAACCTCACTTCAAAAGTTACAAGCTATTCCTTTAACAGTGATGTGGATGAGCAAGCAGCAATTATCACCACATTGTGTTGAGCCCTCCCATGTCTCCTGACGTCAAAAGCTTTTATATGCCAAATGTGACATTTTCTGAGAATTTGCTTACACTTTATGGCTGTTTAGGAAACTGCAGTGTAAAAGTTTTAAAATACATCATTTCCAGGTATGCTGTCACCACAACCTGAGACATTTCTATGAACTGTTGCAAGTGGAAACCAACACTTTTCACATGTATTTATTGTTTTAACCTAATAGTGTATTATGATATTAGTTCACTGAGACCAAAACTCAAAACTCCACTAAACCTAAATGTGGTGATGGTTGCCACACACTGTCTACGCACATGTTGTCTCTCAGCTCACATTTCTTTCTGACAAACAGAATCCAGAGAAAAAGCGGATCGACTGAAAGAAGTGTTTAATGTGAAGATGTTTCGCAGCTTTAATGTTGCTATACACACTGACTCTTTTGCTACTTCAATTGATCCTGTATATTTCTTCACGTTTGAGCCCGTGGTGTAGCTGTTGTGTCCTGTGAAGCCCGTGTTGGGGGGGGGGTTACTTTGGATGCCCAGGCTTTGGGTAGGGAGCTTCATTCTCTGCCTCTTCTCTCCCAGTTTCTGGGGAGGAAGACATTCTCTCTGTTTGCTTTCTTTCTTCAGGGTTACCACTGAAGAGTTTTCAGAAGACAGCATTTATTTTTGTTGTTGCTGTTGTTGGAACTTATCACAAACACATTCCTGAATTATCTCCATCCATGGTGTCATTTTTCTTTTGCAGATTGCTGTTGGCAACAGTCATGTCTAGTTCTCTCTGACTCACGTGTAAATAAAGTTCATATTTGTGTACACATGTGCAATACACGCTACTCAAGCAATCTGTTACTGTGACAAATATTGAGAAATGCTACTTTTTGAAGTTTCAATCTATTTTTGCTCCTTGTCCTGATGAAGGATTATGTTGCAAGATCTTTAAAAAAGGGAAAGTAACTATTGTGATTCTTCACACTCAGTTTAAATTCAGGGGCTTGCTGACATTTTAATGAAGCCCTTTTGTTTTTAAAACACTCACTGTACCGTTGTGATGATCTTTCTTTTTTTTATTAATATTTTAAAGTGGGCTTGTTAAGTTTGTCTGGAAACTCAATAAAGCAATTCACGGACCGTTGCTGCTCTCTGTGTGTTTACATCTGCTGTGATGGAAGCGCTTTAGTTCAAATTGTTTTTTGTCAGCTAAAGTTACAGTGGGGGAATTAATTATTTGATCCCCTGCCACATTTTTAAATGTGTCCCTGCATGTAATTGTCTAGAATTTTATGTATTTATTTTTGGAGTTCATTTGAAAATGTTGAAAAAGGATGATAATAAATTTGATTTGAATTTGACTGGGTAAACATTTATTTAAAACTTTACCCCCATCATCTCACAATAAATCAGACTAAATATTCTGTTTTACATAGCTAGGATGATTTTTGTTAGCTAAATTAGGGAAAGTTTATTTTTTTTAAATCAGATTTTTTTCTTGCTTTCTTCAAATTCAGAAGTGACCATACCCTGAGATTACTGACTGACCAGGTGGAAAAGACCAGAGGGCTGTTTCACAAAAGCAGGATTACACAATGCAGGATCAGAGATGAAGCCAGGCTTAACATAGCATCATCAGTTCATCGCCACAAAGATGAAGAAAATCTTTGTGAAACTTTCTCCGTTTCACATCCAGGATCAGGAGGTGATGTTGAGCCCCAAGGATTAACCTTGGGAATTCTTAAAATTGACTATACACTGCCCCAAAATGGTACACTTTATAAAACTATTGCAAAAAACAATTTTTAATTGGCTCAGATCTATCCACAGATATAGGGTTTTACATATTGTCAAAATATTTTATGTTTTCTGCCTGTTTTGTTTGAAAAAATCATAATTTTTGAAACCCAAAATACACAAAATGTTTCAAAAATAAATAGCAAAATGGAATGATTCTGATGCAGGTGTTTCAACTTTGACCAGGTCAAAACGTTACAATATTGATTCCTATGCATTATTTTTGGGGTAATGAGAGTTAAAAAACAAAAACTGAACTCTTTTTACATTTGTGACCTAAAATAGCACATCTTATAAAAGTGCAATAAAAATATTTATTTTCGTTTCCATCACTGCATTAAATCTTTTCAAAAACTTCAGATCAACCCAGAGGTAGGAAGTTTTCTCATTTTTAAAATCTTTTCTATGGTTTTCTGCCTATTTTGTTATGTAAAGCTCCTTGAACTGCATTGTTGCTGCTATACAGATAAACTTGGCTTTTTGTCCAAAACAAACCAAAAAAGCCCCCAAAAAACTATTTTTTGAAGGGGAAAACACAAAATATACAATCTTTCCAACCATGCAGACACCAAAACTGCTCCTCACTCAAATCATTTCATTTATTTATTGATAACCTTTACTATTTACCTGAGAAGTGCAGGATTAGCTGCAAGAAGTCTTCATGGAAAGAGAGGTGAATAAAGCCAAAGGCTGATTCTGATGTAGAGTCTTTCATGATGTGCATCACAGTGTGTAGAGGTCCATGGTGGAGGGAAGGCTGCTCCCTACAGTCCACAAACCCTCTGCAGAGCCGTCTTCTCAGCAGCAGTGCAGCTGCCGTGCCACATGGTGATGCAGGTGCAGAGAACGCTCTCCACCACACAATGATAGAAGCTCCTCAGAACTGAGTTACCAAGACCAGCTCTCTGCAGCTTTCTGAGGAAGTAGAGACGCTGGCGGGTATTCCTGACCAGATGTGACGTGTTGGCACTCCAGGTGAGGTTGTTGGAAATATGCTTCCCCTTTGTACCTGTAACTGGAGACCCATCTCTACAGCTGCTCCTCTGATGTACAGGGACTGAACAGTCGGGTAACTTGATTTTCAGTGGCGCTGGGATCCTTGCATACAGTCTGATAGATGGAGAATTTCATAGGAAGATAGTTAGCTATTAGACCACATGAAAAGATGTAAACCACACACATCCATCTGGCTAGACAGATAGACAGAGAACTTTATTGTCATTGTATGCTGGAGGCAATATAGTGAAATTGTATTGCTTTAATTTTCATAAAATTACCACAAAAAAGTGCAAAATCAATCAAAGTATAAAAGTTTACAGTTAAATAAAAAGAAATGGTTGAAAGCAAATATATTAATTCATAATTTTAAAAGGCAATGAATGTACAGTCAGTTCTGTCTTAAATTTTTAATAGTCCTTCAGGATCTTCAGCATGACTGTCTCCTGCACTCTACTTAAAGCTGCAGTATGGAAATAAAAAAATCACCTATTTCCCAGCCAGCATGCCTAGGTGGGCCCCATGTGGGGAAAAGGAGGGCAGACTATATGGGTCCCATATGGGTTTGTCCGCGGGTTCCACGATGGCCCCACATGGGTTTGCCCATGTAGGGCCAGAGCCCACATGGGCCCTGCATGGGCCCTATATGGTGGTGGCCCACATGGGTTTTGTCCAATTAGGGCCCATGTAGCACCCATGTGGGCTGTGGCCCTACATGGGCAAACCCATGTGGGGCCATCGTGGAACCCGCGGACAAACCCATATGGGACCCATATAGTCTGCCCTCCTTGTCCCCACATGGGTCCCACCTAGGCATGCTGGCTGGGTTGTTAGAAGTATCACTATGTCCTGACAGTGTTAAGACAGACAATCTGTGAAAAAAAATTGAGCTCCTCTGTGTTCTCCCTGCGACCTGCTATCATCTGAACTAATACACTACTCTGTCAGAAACAACCAATCAGAGCCAGGAGGAGGGTCTTAGATCTGTCAATCACCTCATATAGTTGCTGCTCACACCCCTTCTCTTCACCCCCCCATCCCTGTCTCTCTGCTATGATACAACTGCTTCACCCCAACAGAGCCTGCCATGAATGCTCAGACTAGTTAGCATCCCCACCAATGACAGTTTTCCTGGAACATTAAGTTGTTTCTCTGCCATTAGCATTAAGAAAAGGTTGATTGACAGCAATAAGACCCTCCTCCTGACTCTGGTTATTTTTGACTAGGACAGGTGCAGTTTTTCAGATGGCAATAGCAGCTCAGGGAAGAGGTGGAAGAGCTTTATTTTGTATAGATTGTCTCATATTACACTGTCATGACATGGTGGCAACTTTGACAAATATGTGATGATGATGATGATGATGATGATGATGATGATGATGATGATGATGATGATGATGATACTTTATTTCAGACAAACTTTTCACCGACAAGTGTAAAATAAAACACAATACTTTTCTATGAAGTACATAATCAATTACATAGAAACACACCACTAATTCGTGATTGTGAATCTGAAAAGGAGTATGATGAAGTAGAACTTATATAAACATACCCCTTTTCCATTCCTAATTCATCGCATTGTTTTCCAGTTCTGACAGTAAAAATATTTTTTGTAAAAGTTACTGTAGCAAGGAGAAAAGGGTGAAAAGGGTTTTTACAAAGGCCCACAGGTGAGCTGAGTAGATGTATTTAATTCTGGGCAAATGGGATTTGATGATCTACTGTGTTGTTTTTTGGTAACTGCTCTTCCTGTCTGCTGCTGTACAGCAGTATGGAGTACTTACACTGTACAGCATTAAGCCAGTGACAATCTGGTTATCAACTCCTGACAGACCACACTGCCTGAAAGTTCTCAGAAAAAATGAGTCTTTGTTGGATTTTTTAAAGTAAGTTATTTAGTGTTGAAGCTCCAGGTGAGATCCTCTCATCTGAAGCTCCACTTGCTCACCATCCATGCTCAGCCCGGGATGGATTGTCCTCTTTATCCTGAAGTCAAGATGATCTCCTTTGTCTTCTTGGTGTTCAGGGTGAGGTCATTCTCCCTTCACTATTAGTTTACCATATTATTAACTTTTGAACCTTTTCTTTATAGGCTCCCTCTTTGCTGTCGCAGATAATAGTTTTGTCATCCACATATTTGAACAAGTCATTATTGTTTCTGGGTAAACAGGAAGTAAAGGATGGGGCTGAGGAAACAGCCTGAGTCTTGTACTCAGCACACCATACCTGTGCTGAGTGTGACTGCGGATAAGGTAAGAGAGTCGTTTTGGACATGCTGGGGTCTGTTGGTTAAAAAGTCCCGATCACAGTCCTGCTCCTAGTACCAGGGATTCTAGCCGCTCTGTCAACTTGTCAGGAGTTGATGGAGTTAAAAGCTGAGCAATAATCCACAACCTCCAGCATCCCTACGTAGGTTTTAAGTAATATTAGCAGAGCTGGGACAAAGTCAGTGCTTTGCAAGTCTGAATAAGTCTCAAGTCTTTATCCTCAAGTCCCGAGTCAAGTGTCAAGTAAAGACAGTCAAGTCAAGTTACGTCTGAAGTCAAGACAGGCAAAAGTTGAGTCAAGCCCAGGTCTGAAACCTGGAATTTCAAGACCTTTCAAGTCTTTTTTTTTTTTAACAATGTTGCAATTCTTATTTTAAAATTGCACCTTTATGTTGCACAGTTCAGTTAAGCTTACCTGCAAGAATAGTCACATATTAAACTATAATTTTCCAGGTTAAAGATTCAGTGATATGATATGATATGATATATGATATGATATGATATGATATGATATGATATATAATGCTCTTTCTCAAACCAGGATATGCAGTTGAGACAAGGACTCATAGTGTCATTGCATGAATGGAATGCTATGACTTCAATCAAATTTCTTTTCTTCTGCTGTAGCTTCTTAGGAAACAATAGGCAGGGGAACATCTTATAAGAACTACAGTAACTGGTTTTCTCACTGTTTAGCCACTAGAGACTAACTCAAGTAAAACATAATAGGACTGTGAAGTCATCTTGTCTTGAGGTGTGGATGTGAAAACATCCAAAGGTAAAATACTTAATTTTATGTGCTGAGACAAAAACTTAAAGTCCATTTATGCAGTATGCATAACTTTATAAACTTTGATGAAGGAATTTTCCTTTTAAATCTAGAGCAAAGTATATATAATTGAGACAATATTTGAAATTAATTGAACTTAATTATGTCACTGAATAACCAATGATTATGTAAATGTGTTAAAAAAAATACAATATTAACTACTTCAGATGACACATAATCAAATATCTACCATATTTTGTCTCACAAATATTTTTTTCCAGCTATTGTTATTTTTGTAGTCACACCACTCTGTTACATTCATTCTAGTCACATAATTGAGATGGAAACTCATTCCAACCTCTGATGGATAGGACAGGAATATATGAGAGGGTTTACAAATCCTCCTTCTGTTCGCTAATTGGCAAGGATGAAATTCTGAGAAATCAAGTACAATGGGACAAATCCTAGACAGAGCACCGCAGAGAGATGAGAATCAAGGGAAACCAGGCAGTGCAGTTTTGGGTTGTTAAACATGTCACACAGTGCCTGAGCCAATACATTTGTTCATGTTAGAGATTCTTATGCTTATAAAATATTTAAATACTTTTTATATTAAAACAAATTTAGGTACTGTATATAAACAACTATATTTGTCTAACCATATGATGGTAATTTAATTGCACCCGCATGGGTTCTTGTTAGAACACCATGCATCTCATAATATACAATTACTGAAAAAAAAGGTTAACAGTGCAACTAATAATAATATCACACTGTTCAAGAAATGACATGCCAGCAGATTTGTTTTGTTATCAAAGGCAAAATTATGAAGAATCATAATTTAATGACTTCTTTTACATGGACAGGACATTAATGACATTTATTTCTCAAATATCCAATCAAAAACATTGTGGGGCTTCAGATAAAACTTCGCAGGAGTTGACAATCTTTTTAAAGATTTAGCCTAATGATATATGTGATATTATCGGCACAGTATCAGCATCAGCCCTTATTAGCTGTAAAAATTAGCTGCCATTCTGTCAAAAATAATTCTGGTGAATTATTTT